GTTGAGGGTCTGAATAGAACAGAAAGGCAGAGGGAGAATTTGCTGCCTTTGCTTGGGCTGGAACATCCATCTTCTCCTGCCCTCACCATTGGCTCTCCTGGTTTGCAGGCCTTCAGACTTAGACTTGAATTACACCACTAGCTTTCCTGATTCTCCAGCTTGCAGATGGCAGATTATAGGACTTCTCAGCCTCCATAGTCACATGGGCCATTTCCCATAATAAATCTCCTCTTATATACGTATATCTTATATCTATATGTATCCTATTGGTTCTGTTTCTGGGGAGAACCCTAATACAAGGCCTTTGCTTTGGGGTGGGGAAAATAGCACAAATGAGTTAAATTGCTAGAGATGAAGCAGCAGTGAGAGTGCAGTCTGCTGGTTTGGAACCCAAGGCATGGCCAAGCTGAGAGTCCAGCAGAAAGCCATGCCAACGACCTTCTATCAAGGAAACAGCTTCAAGATATTGAGGGCCCATGAGAATCAGAATGTGTTGTACCAGAACCTAGTGTGGATTTCTAATAAAGGAATGAAGCTTATAGCGCTGCAAATGGTCTCACTTGGATCAAGAATTAGGAGCCTGACCTTCCCATTTCCTTCTGCTATACAAGAGCTGATTCTCACAAAAGAACATGTATTTCTGGAGAAGCCAGATCTTTAGAGACACCTGGACCAAATTGCTTTGGCATCAGATACAGTGTTTTTCCAAGTAAGTGTCCATGGATACTACAGAGAGATGTTAGCATGGTCAAAGTGATTATAAAAACACGCTACACACTGGGCTCCTCACTTGGAGATTCCCAGTGTAAATTAAGGCCTCAAGGAATCCTGCAGTAAAAATGCATGTTTAACACTGTTAACATGGTGTTTCCAAAATATAATTGGGTGCCCATGCTTTCTTTCTTTGCCATACACCTAATAATATTATGAGGAATGTGAATTTGGGAAACATTGATGATTGCGTCAATTAAGATGCTTTCAGCTGCAAATAACAGAAAACCCAAAAGAGAGTGGCTTAAACAACTAGGACATTTTAGAAAATCATATACTGAAAAGTTGAGGCAAGGAGTGCTGCCATTGCTCCAGTAGGACAATAACGTCAGGGCCAGTATCTCCAGAATTCCTTTGTCCCTTCCTTGGTAGTTACAAGATGGTGAAAACAGCTCCCATCCAAGACGGTGGGGAGTTGTGGGTCTGTCAGTATTTCTGGTTTTCATTCAGAAATCAAAAGCCTTTCAGAAGCCCCCCAGCAGACTTCCAGTTCATCCCTAGCTCCAAGTGAGCTGGAATAGCCTCTGTAGTGGAGGCAGGCAAAGGACAAGGGGGTTGGCTATGGTTGGTGGGCTGGCCAACCTCCAGTGTCTGTAACAATGGTAGAATCACTTTTAGAAACTTGCCTTGCAGTTGAAGGCTCTCAGCTTCCACCAAGGAACACAATTAGAACCAGTTATATGACATCTACTGTTGTTTTTCTAGTAAGAGCATTCTGTTTATGAGGATGTTGTCCAAAGTAAAAGAATATGCTCTAATGAGACCCACACGAGAAACCCTTCTCAGGCTCAATGCTATCCCCTCCCTCCCTGCCATGCTCATTCCAGAGACAATGTTTACCCCACACAATCTTTTTGGTTCTACGCAAGCCCTAGAAGCCACATTGCTTGTGGTGGACCACTCTCTGCAAGGTTCTGCAATTCTCAACATGCACTGGGGAAGTGGGCAATGTTCTTGATGCTCCGAGACTTATAGAGCTCTCTCTTCCTGTTACATTCTGAGCCTTTTCCACTCTTTTCAAACTGTTTTTCTCAATAGATATAAGTATTTGCAAATAAAAGCCCCAATGGAACATGTTTTTCTTTTTCTCTTTTGAAGGCTACTATATACCTTCCCTGATGCAAAGAAGCAGTCTCCTGATATAAAAGGAAAAACTATAGGCAGAAATTATAAATTAGTATTACAAGAATTATTTGGCCACACACTTTACACAATAAACTAATCACCAATTAAGACGTTTGGTATTTAATGTCTGTCTCTCCTGATAGATTGCAAACTCCATTCATTTGACCAACACTGTTCAAGGATTCTTTTCTTCCCCATCTTTTGCCAAATTTTCACTCCTCAAGCCACAGCCACCTCCACTTCCTTTCCTCTTGGCAGAGTAGCTACAATCTTCTTATAAGGTAAGGAGAAACTGACCACTCTCTTACTTCACACCTCTCATCATCTTTTTTCCTTCATTTTTGTCCATGAGAAGAAAATGTTTTTCCTTCTTCTAGCCAAAGTCGACCCCTCCATTTGTCCTTGTGATCTCATCACTTTCTCTGGCACTTTCTATCATCATCTTGCACTCTTGTACATTTCAATTGCTGCCTCCACGAGGACACCTCTTTTCCTACTAACAATTTCAAGTCCTCTCCATCCTAAAAGGTTTTTTTTTTTTGGCAAGGAAGATTGGCCCTAACATTTGTTGCCCATCTTCCTTTTTGCTTGAGGAAGATTGTCCCTGAACTAGCATCTTTGCCAATCTCCCTCTATTTTGTATGTGGGACGCCACCACAGCATGGCTTGATCAGCAATGTGTAGGTCCACGCTCAGGATCTGAACTTGCGAATCCTGGATGGCCAAAGCTGAGTGTGCTAACTTAACCACTACACCACTGGCCCAGCCTCTAAAAGATTTTTTAAAACATTCTTCAAGGGGTCTGCCTGGTGGCACAGTGGTTAACTTTGCATGTTCCACTGCAGCAGCCTGGGGTTTGCTGGTTCAGATGCCCGGTGTGGACCCACACACTGCTTGTCAAGCCATGCTGTGGCAAGCATCCCACATAGAAAATAGAGGAAGTTGGGCATGGAATGTTAGCTCAGGGCCAATCTTCCCCAGCAAAAACAGGAGGATTGGCAGCAGATGTTAGCTCAGGGCTAATCATCCTTTAAAAAACCCCACTCTTCTAGCTAGTGTTCTTTTTCTCTTTCCCTAGATTTCTTGGGAGACCGATATATACCTGTGGCCTCTACTTTCTATTTTCACAGCTCTGTGCAAACTCACCATTCTAGTGAAACCGTTATATCCAATGACCATTTCTCAGTCCTCTTCCTCTTGGAAGTCTGCTTGCTAGAAGTCAGTTCAGATGAGACACACTGCCCTGTCTCTTTCTGGCCTCTCCTCCCATCTCAATCATGCTAGAACTAGGAGAATCAGTTGGAACATCATGGTGATAATCCAGATTGGGGTCAACAGACTAACTGCAGCCTGCTGTCTGTTTTTATCAAGTTTTATTGGCACACCTATTCTTTTGCATATTGCCCATGGCTGTTTTCGTGCTGCAACAGCAGAACTGAGTAGTTGTAACAAGACACTGTCTGGCCTGCAAAGCCTAAAATATTTAATAACTAGCCCTTTATAGAAGTTTGCTGAGCCCTTTCTAGATCATCTAGACAATCTAGAACTAGAGGGAAGAATGTGTACCAGTATGAATCAAGAGGAAAAGACTGTAAGATATATAAGGAGATATCATTGATACAAACTAATGACGAATTGGAAGAGGTGCAGTAAGGAAACAAAATTTTTAAATGACAGCTAGAGATTCCTATTTGTGATGTGTGGGTGAACAGCGCTGTGTTAATTAATGGAGGTAACGTGAAGTCAGGAAGTCTGGTTGAGGAGGTGATGCAGAATGTGAGAACATGACCATGATTTTACTTAGAGCTATTTTACATTTGCGGATACTTACATTATATCCAAATAAAGATAATACCTACAACTTCAGTGTCCAGGAGAAAAATTAGGCTAAAGACAAAAATTTGGGAATATTTATGTGCTAGAAAAAGAAAATAAGATATAGAACCTGAAAGGAAACTGCTCACAATTAAAAAGTTCCAACACATATCAATTTCTCCTTCCTAAGGATTCAATTAATTGTCAAGTTCTGCACACCATTTCTCTCTCACACTTCATACTTCTTACATGGTGATTTTAGCGTGTACTGTTGACCCTCATTATCCGTGGATTCCTTATTTGCAAATTCACCCACTTGCTAAAGTTTATTTGTATGTAACCCCAAAATCAACACACATGGTGCTTTCACAGTCTTCGCAGACATGTCCACAATAGTGAAGAAATGGAGTTGCCTGACGCCCTGTTCCCAGCTGAAGCCGAGCAGGGTGACACGCTGCCATCTTATTTCAGCTCTCAGACCGTAAGACAAATGTCCTTTTTGTGGTCTTTTTAGTGTCATGTTTTCTGCATTTTTGTGCTTTTTGTTGGTGATTTCACTGTTAAGAATGGCCCCAAGGCATAGTTCTGAAATGCTGTGTAGTTCAGGGTTCCTACACAAGGCCATGATGTACCTTATGGAGAAACACGTGTATTAGATAAGCTTTATTCAGGCATGAATTACGGTGCTGTTGGCCATGAGTTTAACGTTAGTGAATCAAGTTCTATTTTAAGAAATGTCTTTAAACAGAAACACACACAGAAACAAGGTTATGTATTGATCAGTTGACAAAAATTACAAACACAAGCTTGCAGGAACCTAACTCTGTATTTCCCCTAGAAGCAATGTTTCAGTATTCACTGTTTGGGAACTTTACAGAACATAAGTATCGTAAATAACGGGAATAGATCGTACCTTGGTCTGCAACCAGATTATAAACTTCTTGAAGAATCCCTTACTCATCTTTTGTTATTTCATTCGATTTTTTTAAACTAAAAAAAACCCCAAAGCAGTTTATCTATTTCTGGGTGAATAAGAATCCCTTATTCATCTTTATGCAACATGTAGTGCACTGCTATTCATTGAAATTTTCTAAAAGTATCTATTATCAGAAAATACATCTTGTTTTCAAATTTATGTGGCTTTTCCAAAAGACAGTATCTAATAAACATATTAGTATTGGAAAGGGAGTTCAAAGACGACGTGGGTCAAGGGCTAGAACCTTCAGGCAAGGAGGTTTGCTTTTAAGACTAACAAATTTAGAAATACTTTAAAGCAAAAGACAACCACAAACATAAAAAAAGTGCTTTTTAATTTTTAACCAAAGGATCATTAAGTTGATGTAATAAGCGTTTTTTTTTTTTTCCTGGAGTATTCATAATAACGTCGGTCAATATGACTTAAGCAACATGATTATTTAATAAAAGTTAAGATGGAGGGCAGTTGTAACTTGTGTGAAATTTACAATTACAGTTTAAAGTTCTTTAAACTTTTATAAAATTATAAATTGATAATAATTCCCCAAATTGGAAGTCAGATAACTTAATTTTAACACAATTTAAAATTAAAGTACAATTGTCTATACAACAATGAATAAGGACAAGTTTCTAAGTCAGATATCACACTGAATATCCAAAAATAAACAGAAGAAATGTAAACAGTTATAAAATATCAACATTTATAAATGTTGCTTAGAACAAGGCTATTCAAAATATGGTCTATGAACGATTTGTGATCCATCCAACATGAAAGAGTGAGCTTGTGCCAGAAAGAAAGCTAAGTGTGTCACTCATCAGCTGACTTTTTTTTATAACCAGACTTTCTTGATAAAGGAAGCGATGTGTTGATTATAATCTGGCACAGGCGCCTCAAATCGCTACAGACCGGAGAACGGGTGCTGCTTACTTCTTTCAAGTGCCATTACAATTTCACTGCTAAGAGTTAGGTTAACTGTATTGTGGGGGAAAAATTTAAATGACAGTTATAAGTGTCATCTATAACTCATCTATTTTTTAATCCCATCCATCCAAGGATCCTATCCAGAAGGTAAATTAAATTTTATAAACTCGACAGAATTTAACGTTAACCTTCAGATGTGTTGAAGTGTTACTGACATTACTCACCCCAGAGGCGCTCTCTAGATTCCCACGTTAGTGAGAAACATCATCTGCTGTTGATAGACATTTGTTTTTAAACTTGGGAGAAAAACAGTATGAATTGAATCATTTGTTAATAAGATCTCTCTAAAAATTGGCTTAATTTATTTTCACATTGCAATCAGTGAAAACATTTAAATTCACCTTTATGAAAAAATTGAATTTTTATACTGTTTGTGCAACCACTAGTTGCTTTTTTACAATAAAAATTGTTAGGAAAAAAAGGTATGGAAATTTACAGCTCCGAATCCTATTAACTAAGGGGAGGCATACGAACTATTTTAAGATTTCTCAGAGCAAAAGATAGCATAAAATATTTTTAAGAACCAGCTTATAATTCAAACATTCCTTGATTTTTAAAAATTTTTTAGTATGGCATAATTCCTCTAGAAATTTAAAAATATAGTATGGTCTTTTGTAAAAGTAATCATTTCCTCTTTCTGCAATGTCTTACTAAGCTGTACCTGCATTAGCTTAATGCTGAAGGCAAATACATGGACAATCAACATTTTAGGAAAAACTCATCAGTTTTAGATATACAAGAGCCCAATTTAGCTTCTGCAATGGCTAGTTTATTGAACCAACAAGCTACTTCTTAAAGAATTTAAATGTATATTTACATGTCGTAAGAAGAGAGCTCCTTTGGCACCTGAGTTGAGAACAATATACTGCAGTAAAGATCTCTAAAAGAAAGTTGTCTAAAGACTATATTTTATCCATCTATACATATATACATACAACAATACATATACATATACACATATGCACACACACACAAGTAGAATTAACTTTTCCTTTAAGAAATGCTGAAGATGTAAAAGTTATTCACCATTTAGCCAAATAAAGTGACCTGATGGTTATTAAGAACAGTTTTAAGTTATTTGGAGTCTAACCAAATTTCAAGAAACTAAAGGTTTTACAGTAATATATAATTCAAAGGGGGGAAATGCAAGATTTTTTTTAATCAAAATATCATTTTTTTTTGATATAGTAACATTGTCATGAGGTTAAAGTTATCTTAACATAATAACAGGCTTTTTGATAGTCACCAGGTGCAAAGTCACCAAAGATTACCCAAAAAGGAGTGAATCTGCCCCCAGTAGGACTGAACACAAGCCAGCAGCCACAGGTCAAACATTCTGCTGTCCCTAGACTCTGACTTGCATTGGTCCCAGCAAAGGTCATTAGAGGCCACTGTGCAGACCACCTTCTGCTGTGCCCACCACTTGCCAGGAATTTTACACAAGCACTTTCGAGGAGTTGACGCCACCATGCTTTATGATCACGGTCACTACTGCTGACTCTCGTATTGTGTTCACAGTCCTGCTGGTGTTACGATATTTTTTATGCAGACTTTTAGAACTCTGAACGACTGGCTTGTATTCTAAGACTTAAAAGACATCTAAATTCTGTTAAGTTGTCTGTCAGCATTTTCTTCTTCACTCAATTAATAAATATATTTTGCAGACTACACAGAGAGCACATTCAGTTTTACCTAAGTATCTTCGACTCCAGAAATTCTGGAGGATGAAAGTCCCCTATGCTTGTATACCATCTATTCTCCATTTCTCAGACCTTGTTAAATCTGAAGTGTGCTGAGAGTGGGCAAAAGACATCTGAGTTAAAAAATCATGCCATGCTACTCTTTTCTCTGCTCCAACTTGTATAGAATACCCCTAAATCAGGCTTCTAACTCCCTCTTTGCTCTGGTTGAAGGATCTATCTCATATAGCAGAACATATATATGGCAATCTTACACAGTTTCAAAACATTCATCATTGAAAACCATTTTCAAGTGTAAAATATCTCTTGAGCATCTATAAAACAGTATATATTCTTGCTTAAACTTGACACTGCTATCCTACACAAAATTCTGTCAACAGAAGCACAGTACAGGATTCACCTCAGAGAACATATCAAATTCAAACGTCTTCATTTTGTTCAGTCTGCATCAACCACAATACAATTCAAACCACTTTTTTCCTGATATGTAAAATACTTAGAAAAATCCATTTGAATTTGCATTCTTTCATTAATATGTAAACTCAAATGCACAATTTTATTTTTTGTCATATATTTAAATATCTTCTTCTCTGCAGACTTGATATCTCAGGATAGGAAATAAAATTCTACTAGCAGCTAGTAATTTAGCATTAAAACTCTTCCCTAAATTCTGCTATGCAAAAGTGCATTTACAATATAAACATGCCATATGTGAAGCTGCAAACCACCATCTCACATGGGAGTGGATTTCAAATTCCAAATGCAGTCCAAGCGAGTCAAAGAGACCCGTGCTAACAGAGCAGATCTGAGACAAGTTCATGGGGAGTGGGCAACGAGTCATCAAAGCGAAACCTCTTGGACACCATGCTGCTATCCTCCGGGATGTTCTCTTTGTCCTCCCGGTCACTACAGGTTCCATTACAGGAGGACTTGGCGGTCCTGTCTTCAGAGGACCGCAGCGCATGATCCTGACTCTGAGAGGAACCAGAAGTTTCTTCAGGGTGAAACAAGTTCCCAAAGTCCCACTGCTGCAGCCACGAGTGAGAGAGGCAGGACTCCGCCGTGGGCCTCTTCCTTTGAGAGAAAGAACAAGGGAAACTGAGAACCAAAGTCAAGTCAGAGAGGTCTGCAGTTTGATAGATTATAGACTTATTTTTTATTTATCATGAAAATAACACAAATCCATGGTACAGAAGGGAATAATAATAGGAAAACGGGGGTCCTAGGGCTTCCTTAATTCTGACACGTGCTCAAAATTCAGCTTATCATGGGGCTTCCAGATGAGACTATCTGGTCAAAAGGTTTGTGAACATGTTAGCCTCCCAAATAAAAATTAGTAAAATTATAAAGTCTCTTGGGTTTACAAACCCTTGAAAGGAAAATATATGTAATTTATAACCTCTATTATCTTGTATTCTTAAAAGCAATAACTGTTAAATCTTGAAAACAAAGGCTACTCTTCAATGATGTTTATCCAACATTTTGAGTTTTTAAATTTTGTTTTCTATTATAAAAATAATATGGTCAAATATCACAACATTTCAAAGGAAGGAAAACACCTCTTTGTCTTCAGAACTCCAACCTTAATACAACCACCATTACCGTGAGAACATGTTTCCTTAGTCTTTGTTTTTATGTTCATTTTTTCTTGCATATAAAAAAATTAATGTGCTCACTATAGAAATTTTAGAATGTAATTGAAAAAATATTTAAGAAAATGAAAACTGCTTATAAGCAGAAACAAATAGTATTATTACTCTTTCTACTAAATAACCATTTGTGTCTAAAATATAGTCAGTGAGAATTTGTTTAGTCTTGTAGTAAGCCAAAAAAATAATTCACAAACCTATGAGGTTTTTTTTCTTAAACAGATAAGGAAACTGAGTCCTCAAGGAGATGACGTAACGGCCAGAGATAAAAGGCCTGACAAGTAAGTAAACACGGCTGATCCGGGTGAAGAAAGGGGAGGTCAGCTTTTTCTTTTCCTGCTTTGAAGCTGCCAATGAGTGAGGTAAGAGTCCTAAGCTATAGCTCCAAGTCGCTTCTTTAGTAAGCAGGCAAAGAGCATCTGATCCTTAAAGATTTGACAATCAGTAATCTGTACGTGTTACCTAACTATGATTATTTAACTACAGATTGTTCACAGCAAAGTCTCATCATGACCAGCCACGCGCACTGCAAACCTACTCTGAATTACTTCAGGGAATTTCAGGGATTAGTGGAAGGGTGAGAGAGAAATAACCCAAATCTTCTCTTCAATCCAAAATTCCCCGCGGTACATTTTACATTTCCCATGTTTGAAGCCATGGATTTGTTAATGATTTCTTATACCACTTCTCTTCCCATTTTACCTGAAACTTGAGAGGATACTTCTAATAATTTTATATCGTCTTAGAATGTATCTTTCTTCATAGACACATATTATTTATTTTGTAATACTATTTAAACAAATTAATGTTATTACTCACTCTGGATTTTTTACCAAAAGGCTTTGGACAAAGTCTGTGGCCAGCTGTGAAACTGACGAAAAAGTTTCTTCTGAATAATCTACATTAACTTGAGAAATATTGAGGTATGTTTCTTGATTATCTTCGCCCACAAATGGGGACGTATGAGTTAGTAGCATATATGCTATTATACCAATATTCCTAAAAACAAATAAGGGACAAGAGGGGAACTTAAAAAGTGTGTTAATCTTAAAACATTTATATAAAGTAAAATCAATACTCAACACATTCCTGTCCTCAAAACTTGTATGGTTTAACTACAAACTTAAATCACTTTTCAAAGTTCCTATATTATTAAAACTAAAATAACTGTATTACATCAAAGTTTGCCTCACAGAAAAAGAGTATGAGGGAAATGCACGTACGTTATATAATTATAAACATACTAAATATATATCTTTACATCTGCGGCCTGCCCTTCACACAGACCCCTGCTATCGAGGACACGAAGTTGCTCAAAGAGCAGCATTTCTCAAAGGTGTCCAATGACGCAGTAACGATCCGTGAGACATAAACAGCGGCTCTGTGCAAACACAGTCTGCAGGTTCGACAAAGCACAAAGTTGTGTGGGCAGACTTTTTTCATTGCAAAACTTTTCAGAGGCTTAAATATGTTAATGACAAGCCTGGTGCTCAAGGGCCGGAAGAAGACACTACATACAGGACACGTGTCACCTTCTTAGTTAGCCACAGGACCCTTTGCCCTCGGCAAATCCACGACAGTTCCGTGGAACACAGGGAATATGTCTAAACTCTTCCCTTGGCCTGTGGAGTCAGTGCCACACGGTGGTCCCCACTCAAGTTCCAGCGTCAATTCCAGTTCTCCTCCTGCTAGCCACAAAGTCTCACAGTACCCTAGAGATAGACTCTTAGGAAACTCAACTTTTGCCTGCACCTGACCTCATTCTTCTGCTGAGCAAAAGCCTTCCTCGCGCTTCAGACCCAGATCAGGTGTCTCCCATCTGGTGCCCGTCTGCACTTGCTCTATGCTTATTAAACGGCATTTCATCTTTCTTATGGGACAGGTAGCAGGGCACAGGCTGAGCCTCCCTCCAAGAAAAGGTTTTCCCTTGTTAATCCTGTATCTTTGGCTCAAAGCCAAAGTGTTACTTAAAAAGAATGAGCATGTAAATGTTTTCCTGAGACAAAATAATAATACTTGAACAAAATCTTTTAAAGAAAGCCTTATTATTTACTTTTGGAATCAAAGAACTCTAGAACATATACTACCCAACTTTTAACAAAAGCATTTAGGTAACTAACAACATCTTACCACATATCTGTTGCTGTGGTAATAGGATCATAGTTTAGGATTTCTGGAGCTGAAAGAGAAAATAAAACTCAAATTCAATACTGACAAATTTAAAAACATGAACATTATTTTACATTAAATTAAAACTGGATTTAATTTTAAAGAATACTAATATAAGATCAATAGAAATTTAGTATTATATTAATTATCCTGTGACTAGACATTTACACATATCTAACACTGAGCAAATTATATAACCAGATGATTCAAAAGCACCAATAATCTTCCTGGAGTAACAGGTAGCTTCAGAGTTTTTTTTTTTTAAATCATTAAGATGAATCTCAAGAAGAACAATTATGAAGTAAAATGTTACAAGCTGAATCTTTTCAAAATTTTAATTTTATTACTGCTATGAATTAGTTTGCATTATTTTACCAGACTGATTTAAGATTTTCCCTTCAGGGTAAATAAAATCATACGCATTTACAATGACATTAAGAGCAAATTATGCTTGCTGGAATTGCTTAGATTTTCAAGTAAATTAAATATCCCTCTTAAACTATCAAAAACCTAACTTTCTAAGCAATTAATTTCCCACTGTCTCCGCCCATCAAAATTTTTTTTTTTCCTGAGGAAGATTAGCCCACAGCTAACATCTGTACCAATCTTCCTCTATTTTGTAGTGGGTCACTGCCACAGCATGGCTGAGGAATGGTGTAGGTCCACACCTGGAATCCAAACCTGCAAACCTGGGCCGCTGAGAGGAGTGCACCAAACTTAACCACTAGGCCACGGGGCTGGCCCTCTGTCAAAATTTTTTAAAAAGTGCAAAATAAATTCTCTATACTTTCTAAACATTACTATAAATTTCAAATTGGTAGAGTCCAAACTAGGATTTACCCTTGAATAATAACTTATTTCAAAGTATGGTTTCATAATTTTTCCAAAGAGCAACTGTCTCCTAAACCCTAACATTTTGTTAACAAAGCCCTCGAGCCATAAATATCAGCAGCTTGCTGGCCCCCTAAACCTTTCCTGTCCTTCTGTGAGCTGTGCTATCTCTAATCGCAGCCATTTATTCTAGGACACTACAGCCCCTATTAGCATTCAAAGGTTAGAATGTGCTTTGCTTTTCATTTTGGAAGGCCAGTGGCCTAGCTGAGCAGCATCTGCTCTGTTTGGTTGTATCTTTCCAATGCATGCATGGGGAGATGAACATCAGCAACAACAAAAAAGTACAAAAATATTCTTACTATAAATTACAATACTTTAAATTTATATGCTGCTTCTTACAATTTAAATTATCTTTCATCCGTATGATCTAATTTGTTGATTAGTACAACATTCCTAGATTACCTAGTCATAGGTTCTTTTGGCACCATTCTTCAAAATCTTGCTTTTCCCACCCTAGGCAAAACCTCCCACTTCAAAGCAGCAGCAACAAACAGCAAGGAGTCGGGCTACCGATCCCACAAGGCTGGAGCTGCCCCCCATCTAAACAGCTCAGGGGTCAGGACGGGACAGAGCAGACCGACGTCCACCCAGCAGCCAGGCTTCAAAGGCGAGAATGGGCCACTTGATTCTGTGTTTTCCTCTTTTTCTATTTTCTCCCATTCCCTAACTTCCCTTTACTCATTTTTCTTTATGTACAAATGTTAAACTTCTGAACTTATAGGGCCAATGTCCTGTGAGTCATTGTGAATTTCTCAATAATCCCACATTCACTACAATTCATTTAAATGTGTCATAACCAACTTCAGTGCATTAAAATACTTGATCCAAATATATCCTGGAATTACACGCTCTACAATATAGTTTTATAGAGGCATCATTTAGTTAATAAATTTCAAAATGGTGTAGAAAATAAAGGGAAATGCTTACCTAAGTATTCTGGTGTTCCCATGATTTCCCGAAGTTCACAAGCATTCCCTATTTTTCGAGACATTCCAAAATCCACAATTTTTATGTCCCCAAGAGGGTAGATGCTGCTCAATAAGATATTCTGTGGCTAAATAAAGCACAGCAAAAAAATGATAAGTAATATACAACAATAAAAGAATACCAGTTTGGGATCAGAGGTAAATTAAGTAGAATTTATCGTTAAGCTAGCCAGCCTTGGGTCTAGCAGTTAAGACTCAGCACTCTCACTGCCATGGCCTCGTTTGTTTCCCGGTCAGGAAACCACACCACCCACCGGTCGGTTGTCACACCGTGGGGGCTGCGTGTTGCTGTGACGCTGAAAGCTATGCCACTGGTATTTCAGATACCAGCAGGGTCACCCATTGTGGACAGGTTTCAGCAGAGCTTCCAGACCTGACAGACTAGGAAGAAGGACCTGGCCACCCACTTCCAAAACTGGAGGAAAAAGAAATTAGATGGATACACTGATAGACTGATTATGAGATACAGAATATCTCAGTATTAAAGACAAGACTACTTAAATCTGCCCACTATAAAGTCCAAGAAGGCTTTACTGGATGATACTTAAGCTGAATCATAAAGGATAAACAGGAGCTAGCCAGTTAGAAAGGTGCTCTGGGCCACAGCACAGAAGGCATGAAGGAATAAAAGGCACACACTTCCAGAAAGAGAAAATGGTTCAGTACGGTGTGATGTTCTGGGTCTGACTGTTCCCAGGCTTTTGCTCAGACGGTAGGAAGCATGGGAGGTTTCGCCCACTGCCTCCTAGGACCCTGTGACAGCTTTCTGACTGCAGGCCTGAGGCCTATTACAAAGCTCCCTGCCACTGTCACCACTGCCCAGCACTGCTCCCAAAGTCTGTGACAAGAATCACAAGCCTTCCTTTGGGGAGGTCCCCTGCTTGTGTGTCATTAAATCACAGCGACCATCACAGGAGAGGAGGGCCAGGCGTCAGCTCCACTGTCGTCACTGCAGGCTTTACGGACACAAAGCCAGGTTCCTACGCCCTCCCTCACTTCAAGTTCTGTGCGACGCTGTGTAACACACTTGTCTTTAGCAGGAAAAAGACCTAACAGGAAGCTGGGGGGCGGTATGACTACCTTATATTTACCATGTTGCTACTCTTCCCATATCTTACTGTACAGGACACCACGGGGCAGCTGGAGAGTAAATACCGCCCTTCCTCCATAGGGGAACCACACAGAAGAGATTTCGTTTTTGAAAAAGGGGTGAGATAAAGAGGGAAAGATGCTAAGACTAGTTTGAGACACAAACTTTAAAGTGTCTACAGGACGTCCAAATAGTATCTAATCTACACTTGGAAAAAATGATCTGGAATTTAAGAGAGGCCTGGGCTCCAGGGAGAGCTTTGAGAGCCATCACTATTATCAGAGCGGGCGTGGAGGCCAAAGGGTCACACAGGGAGACTGGTCAGAGAGAGGAGCCCAACATTCCAAAAAGGACAAGACTCAGATGTTCCGTCCGCGGAAGGCTGTGGAGGAAGGCGAAGGAGAAAGGATGATTAAGAGGAGAGACTGAAGCGGCATTTCAGGGCCTGGGAAGGGGGTGAACGGTCTGGGGGAAAGGAGGAGCCAGAAGACGGGGAGCCTCCGGAGAGAGAAGACTGAGCGTGGGGCTGCGAGGAAGCAGGGCCGGCGGAGGGGCTGAGAGCTGGAGCGAGATGAGCGCGGAGAGGAAGACAGCGTCACGAGGCGGGCAGGCCCCGGAAGCGGGGGTGACACGAGCGCAGGAGCAGAACACACAGCAGTGATGGGTTAAGAGCCCGGTGATTGAGCTCAGCTGCCCACACACACAGTCTTCTCTCCATCAATACAAACTCCAGTCCACGCAGCGCCAAGCGAACGAGGAGCGCAGCGGCGCAGTCTGGATGCCCGCGACCACAGGCCTGGCCTGTCCACGCCAGCTCGCAACTGTGCACGTGGAGAGCAGAGACGGCACACCTTGTGTCACTTAAAATCACACTACGTACCTTTAAATCAAGGTGTACAATGTTGTTCTGATGTAGATAATAAACCCCTTCAAGTATTTGTTTAATGAGTCTGATAATGTCATTTTCAGAGACCATTTCAGCCACTTCAGGTAAACACAAGTTGAAAATTTCTCCACCGGCAGCACTGAAATAAAATTCAAATAACAGACAGCTGAAAAATCACTGACCTGAAAATAACAGCTTTTAAATACTGTATATCTATGAAGTAAGACACACAGCCACCTGAACTTCAGTCTCTCTCTACACACATTTCAGGGCTGGCGGGAGGGGCAGAGGAAAGATCTTTAAAGAAGCAAGTAAATGACAAGAATATTTCAAATTCTCGGTGTGACTACTTGAATAATTAACCAACAAAATTGAATAGCTTTATAACTCAGTAATATTGTAGTCTGCCTTAATGCTGCAGCAAAAATAACAGCTAGCTAACCTCCTGAGCTCGGCTCTGCCCCCTGCCTTCATTTCATTTATGTACACACACACGAGTGTCATCAGTTTTGATCCTCATGACAACCATGTGAGGTGGGTGGTTATTATCCCCATTTGACAGATGAAGAATCAAGTAGCAAGAGGTTCACCAACTTGCACAAGGTCCCACAGTGACAGGGGCCAGGACGAGTCTGTTACACGCGTGAACATCTGATTCTTAACCAGTAGGCTGCACTGCCACACCACACAGGACACTGGCAGCCAGAATCCAACTCCCCCTTTTTTTTTAAAGAACTGAAGATGTAAAGAATATTGATAAAGGCATTGTGAAAAAGCCCTAGGTTTAGAATCTAATAATCTAAACTTAAATCCTAAATCCAATGTTTACCAGCAATATAACTTAGGGTCACTCACTTACTGAGTTTCCCCATCTGTAAAACAGACGTTATCAGTGAACTCAGCAAATTTTGATTTCTTTTTTTTGAGGACAAAAATCTAAATAAGATAAAATTTGTCAGAAGATCACACAAAAACATCTAGATGGTTATTCATCAAATTTATAAGGTGTGTTTGCAAATATCTCAAGTAAAGCATATTATACGTGATAAAATAGGAACTCGCTCACTCTCGAAAACGCTATTATTTTTCTTTCTTTGTTTCACTGCTGTATCCACAGCCACCAGAACAATGTGTGGCATATAGAAGAAGGTAGTCAGTAAGTGTTTGTTGAATGAATGAATGATGTAACAGGCAGCCATTCTTCAGAGTGGCTGAAACTGAAATTCAGAAGTCTTGGTGAGTGCCAAGAGGAAGAAGCATGCCATATGTATTAGGGGCCATGAGAAGAAAAACATCAATATGATTGAAAATTTGAGTCCCACACTGAAAGTCACAGGATGGACCTTCCCACTGCAGATGAACCTCCCATCAAGCACGTGTACCCAGTGTGCCAATGACAGGCCACAGGGATTTGCTGCTTTATACTCTATCTATGACATTCCAGAAAAAACTGAGGGACAGCCGGTAAGGAATACACAGGAAAGCCCTGATCATGTATTCTTCACATTTCAACTGCCCCAAACTCCCGAAACTCCCAGAAAAATTCATGAGAAATTAACGGTAATATTTGTCTCAAGGTATCATGGTAGAGACAATCTGAGTGTGAAAAATTTAGTTTGCTATAAAATTTATAGTAGTGAACTCCAAAGTAAGGTATAGAAAGACAGTATTAGAAATGCACATTCTGGGGCTGGCCTGGTGGCACAGCGGTTGGTTAAATGCGTACACTCCACTTCGGCGGCCCAGGGTTCGCCAGTTCAGATCCTGGGTGTGGACATGGCACCGCTTGGCAAGCCATGCTGTGGTAGGCGTCCCACATATAAAGTAGAGGAAGATGGGCCTGGATGTTAGCTCAGGGCCAGTCTTCCTCAGCAAAAAGAGAAGGATTGGCAGCAGTTAGCTCAGGGCTAATCTTCCTCAAAAAAAAAAAAAAAGAAAGAAAAAAGAAATCCACATTCTTCTGAAACAAATAAATTAATCCTTCTGAACAATTCACATACAGACCATCCCCAGCGGCTCCTAGGTCTCCCTGTCAGATGTACACAGTCACAGCCCTGCTCAGGGTCTCCCGAGGGAAGAGGGACTCCACAGGCCAGACTGCCAGTGACACGCTCACCCTTTCCCTTTTGGGTTACATTATTTAGTTTTAATGAAACAAATCCTCTCAAAACAGAACGTGGTCTAAATATATTCCTGAAAAGACACTGTAGACAACATTACTAATGCAATCATAAGCAAATAAGAAAATGAAGAGATGACACTTTACATTCTCCTAGAATGAGTTCCTTGCTAGGGACTTTATAAGATAAAGTTGATATGAAATCGGACCAAATCATTTGAAATTATAAGAAAACTGCATAAGATATGGATTTACATCCACTAGTAAGATGTGGAAAATACCAGAAAGATCCGAATGCTTCATATATATGGCAACATAAATTGCTTAGGTAAGAAATCCACTCTTGAACACTTTATAATTATTTATGTACCAACATTTTACATTACATTCACTAAAGTTAATTCAATAGCCAGAACCTTCCACTAATTCTAATATTCAAAACAAAACATAAGAAAACAAACTGCGACAAAGTGTGTAAAGCACTCTGCAGTGCCTGGGACATAAGAGACAGGACAGCAGGTTGCTCGCAGGACTGCTGCTGAAATCAAGAGCGCCTGGGGTCCGTCCTGGCTCTGCCACCAACTCGCCACCTGAACTGGGACAACTGTGCCTCTGTTTCTTCCAGTGTACCGTAACGATACATAAGGAAAATGACAGCTCCTACTGCAGAGGGCTGCTCTAAGAACTAAGTTAGATAAGCCAGGTGAAGTACTAAGAACAGCACATGTTCAAAGGATCAAAGCAGATGACCTGTGTTAAGCAGTGTCTGACGCCTGGTAAACGTTCAGTAAATATTAGCTGCTCTTATAGGGAGTTGACAAATGTTAATTCCAAATCTAGCGACATCCAGCCTTTCTGAATTCTGGGGTTTCTTGTTGAATTCTGATTAGGAAGGCAATTTAAAAAGTCTTGCTAAATTAAAACTCATTTTTAGAAACACCGCATCATACACATAAAAACACAATATATTCTTAAGTGGAAAGACTGTTGTAAGAGAGTACGCCCAGGAGATCACAATTTTGTTTCTAAAGGTATACATGCATAGACTGAAACGTAAGAATAATTTTAAAATACAGAAATATGTCATAAAAATCACCACAGTTTACATATGATTTCTATTTTCTATATCCTCTAATTTTGTTTTTTTCTTGTTTTTTTTTTAAAGATTTTATTTTTTCCTTTTTCTCCCCAAAGCCCCCCAGTACATAGTTGTATATTCTTCGTTGTGGGTCCTTCTAGTTGTGGCATGTGGGATGCTGCCTCAGCATGGCTTGATGAGCAGTGTCATGTCTGCGCCCAGGATTCGAACCAACGAAACACTGGGCCACCTGCAGCGGAGCGCCCGAACTTAACCGCTTGGCCACGGGGCCAGCCCCTATACCCTCTAATTTTAACACAATGAATAGGTATTATTTTTATAAACAGAAGTATCCTAAGGGTCTTTGTTTATTCAGTAACAAAATCAAACAAATACTAAGTTTGTCAGCCAGTTGGACTGTCTCTTCCTTTTAGTTTGGCGAGCTGACCAATGGCTTTTTTGTAGCATTTATTGGTGCCATTTTCCCCCACAAAAGAGGGACACAGGTGGAGCCACGGGAAGTGGAAAATGAGGAAGGCTTAAGAGGAGGGAAAGAACAGACAACGCGAGAAGCAGATTGCAGAGGTGAGCAGAAACTGGAAGCTGGAAGCATAATGGGAGCAGTGTGCAGGTGCCGACAAGCAGACATTTTGTTAAGGCAAGCCACTCAGAGCAGTGACTACACAGAAGAAAAAATGTCTCTACAGTCAGAAAAGCCACGTAGCTCACTGTCATCATCCTAGAAAGTACATTCAGGTACTCCTCCTCTTTCTCTATTAGAAGAGTGTGCCCCTGAGGGACATCGAGCGCACATTCGGAACTCCAGAGTGCCTGTGTTCACCGGCCTGTGTATCTGGAGACGTGCTGTGTGTGTGACGAGAGCACTTTACAGTTACACTGTCAGGCAAACCTAGGTGCTACACACTATCTACATCTCCAGCTGCCTTTTCCAGCTTTCTGAAGCACACTCTAAAAATTAGTAGGGAAGTAGAAAACATCTTTGAGAAAGACTCCCATAACACAATAAAGTTAACATATAAAAGATGAATATCAGAATATTTTCCTATCCAAACTGATGGATTTCCTTGGGTACTAGAGGGCCAAGATTTTCAGTAAAACAAAGTGCTATTTCCCTTATCCACAAAATACAGATTCCATTCATTTTATCTATATAGCTTTGGAGGGCCATAGTAAAGATTTTTAAATTAAGTATTTATTTCTAGCAATCAACATGAAGTCGTTTTAAATTTTTTATATTAAGGGTCTCTTTTAGAGTTATATTCCTACACTAATGATGGAAACACAGCTGGCGGAATTTTAGAATGGAAAGACAACTAGTCAGGGTATTTCCTGCCTCTAAATCAGAACATGTGAAGTGAATACCAGTCTCCCTTTTGGGAGGATTGTTTTAAGAATCAAATGAGAAGACAGATGAAGTGTTTAGCACAGTGTCTGCTATACAGTAAACGCCCAGCATGTATTACTGTTGCAATTGTTATGATTACATGAAAATGTGCTGTCTGGTGCTCAGATTGAGCTCCCTCCAGAAGGTGAGGCTTTCTACTTCGCATGCTTTGCTATTGTGCTATATGGTCTTGTCATTTCCTATTGGGTTCATACTATTTAAAGATATTTAGTAGACAACATAAGCTGGTAATTTCTAGACAAAAAAAAAATATTCTTTCTCTCCCATACGATCTCACAGAGCTCATTAATCCAAGCACATTCCCCTACTGAACCCCACTATTTCTAGGACAAAGTTCTTGTCCCACGTTCTCCAAAGGATAATAACTACTCCTCATAATCAATTTTAGCTGGCTCAAAATTCAGCACTAAAAAATTAATGTGTCCAATTTGGAATACCTTCTTTCCAGAAGTTAAAAAAAAAGCTTTGTATCTATTTCATTTAATGCTCCAAATATGCTTTTAAAACACTTGTTATAGAAAAGTCATTGCCTCATGGAGAGCGGGGCTGGAATGACTCAACTATCATCACATTTCCCCCCAATTTATAAAGAGATCTAATACTACCTTCCAGAAAGAGAGTATTTATGTTACTTTTCAAATAATCAAAGAAAAGGCTAAAAAATCATTTAGACTTCATAATTGGTAATGAAATACTTTCCTGTGGACTAAGTATTAAGACAAAAATAAAAGACTCAGCAATTATTAAAAAGTGACAAGCTGATTGCAAGAATTTAAGTTTAATTCACAAAAGCAAACAACTTAATTTGGTTAACAAACAGGTTTAGGTGAAATATAGAGGCAAAACAAAACACAAAACCAAAAATAAAATAGAGCTATCGGAACACATAGCTATAACAGTTTCAAAACAAAATTTTAGTTAGATTCATATATTCAGCAAATGCAACAATTCAAAAAAGTGCCTTTTTAAAGTGATTATGCACTATCCATATAAGGAGAAATGTGACAATATCTAATGCAACTACACATGCATTTACTCTTTGACCCAGCAATCACGCTTCTAGAAATGTACCATAAAACCACACCTCCACAAATAGTGCCCATTTGTAGAAGACGGACTGAATAAAGCACGATACAACCACACAATGAGTACCAGGCAGCCACTTAAAAAAGGGCAATAATAACAGTAGTAAGAAAGATGCCCAAGAACTAATACAGAATGATTTCCAGGATATAATGTTAAGTCTAACATAAAGTAAGGTACAAAAGAGCATATATAATATGCTACCTTTTCTGTAGGAAAGAAAGGGGAATGTAAATGCATACAAATTTGCTTATATAAACAAGACGGAACACATAAATGAGGCAGAAACTAGAAAATATGGTTACCTATAAAGGCTGGGTGGGAAGAGAGTAGAAAGGATAGGAATGGAAGTAACACTTCGTAATACGCCTTTATAGACATCTTTGAGGGTTTTTTCGGGGGGGGGGAGGTGCTGGGGAAGACTGGCCCTGAGCCCCTGAGCTAACATCTGTTGCCAATCCTCCTCTTTTGCCTGAGGAATAGTGTCCCTGAGCTAACATCTGTGCTAATCTTCCTCTATTTTTTGTATGTGGGATGCCACCACAGCATGGCTTGATGAGCAGTGTGTTGGTTCACGCCTGGGATCCAAACCCACGAAACCCAGGCTGCCGAAGCAGGGTGTGTGAACCTAACCGCTGCACCACTGGGCTGGCCTCAACATCTTTGAGTTTTGAATCATGTAAATCTTTTTTACAATTTCAAAAAAAATAAAGGATTTAAAAATCAAATCCTAAGATTGAATATGAACAGAAACACGTGTACCTAACTATATAACTCTGACCGTACATCCTTAGTGGGCTATATTCTACAGACAAAAAGAATGGCAAAAAAAGGCTGACCTTTACTGAGGAACTTTTACTAAGTGGTATTAGTATTGTTATGCCGGAGCTATTTTGCATGTATTATGGTTTGATAAGGCAAACAAGTGGGTAAATGTCATTGAGAACCAGGGTTCTCACGGCGGGTGACGGGAGAAACGAACATGGGAAGTGAGAGGTGACACGGAGCCCTGTGGGAGAGGACTTGAATGGGAGCTATCAGAATGAACTCGTGAGTTCTTAAAAACATTATTTCCTAACACTATCCTTGGAAAATGCCTGGAAACGATACTCTGTTAACAATGAGCATGTCCAGCTCCTCGACCTTGGTTTCTAAATAACATTCTCCACTAAAAAGAACCAGAACTTCTCGGACAGATGGCTGATGGCAGGTCCGGGGTAGGGAAAACAAAAGGTGCCCCTGGAAATCTTGGCGTGCCATAAAGCAAGGAAGTCCTCCACTACAGAGATCACATCAAAAGGGCACAGCAAGAAGCTTAAAAGGGTACCACTGGACAAATGGGGGACAATTTGGGCACAAAAGATAATGGCAGAGGGGCCGGCCCCGTGGCTAAGTGGTTAGGTTCGCGCGTTCTGCTTCAGCGGCCCAGGGTTTCACCGGTTCAGATCCTGAGCGCAGACATGCCACCGCTCATCAGGCCATGCTGAGCCGGCATCCCACATGCCACAACTAGAGGGACCCACAACTAAAAATACACAACTATGTACTGGGGGGCTTTGGGAGAAAAAGGAAACGTAAAATCTTTGAAAAAAAAATAATAATGGCAGAAACTATTATTCATTAATCACAAAAAATAAACCACGAATCTATACTGATATTAAAAACGGGGAAAGGAAGGGCAGCTCTTCTTTACAGAAGAATGCCAGTTGAAGAAATTTAAAAGGAATAGTAGAATTAGAAGTCATCATTTTCTGACACTCGCTATAACAATTCAAACAAGTAGTGTCAACGGTTACCAAAATCACTAGAAGATAAGCTATTAAAAAAGAGAATATCCACAAGGTCTCAAAATATCACCACCTAGATTACTTATTAATTATAAAGGGGAAAAGGTTCCTTACAATGGGGCGGGCTGGCTGACTCCACCTCAGCCATGTTCTAATTAACAAAGCCAATAAGAGAACCGCCTGATGGCAGCTGCCGTCTGATGCGACTCCGTAAGAAAGACACCTCTTCGCCTACACTAGCCTTCTTGCCAAAAGTGCTGAACCTGAATCTAATCATGAGAAAACACTCAGACGAATCCAGAATGTAGTTTATTTCATGTGACAACTGATACAGACTTCCTCCCAAAAGGTCAATGTCACGAAAAATAAAGTGACTAAAGAGGATTAACAAACAAATACAATGTGTGAATCTTGATTGTCTCTTGTATTGGAATTTAGGAAAAAATAGGCCTATAAGACATTTTTGAGGTAATCAAAGAAATTTAAATATGGACTGTGTATTAGGTGATCCTACTGAATTAAGGTTAACTTTCTCAGGTTTATACTGGTGTTGGTTAAGCAGAAGAATGCTCGTACTCTTTGGAATAAATACTTTGGCATGCAAAGGAGAAATGTCATGACACCTACAACCTTCAAGTGATTCAGTAAAGAAGCCAAAACGTCACCAACTGGTGAATCAAGCTGAAGAGGATGAGCGTTAACTGTACTATCCTTTCAACTCCTCCGTAGATTTGAAATATTGTAAAATCAAAAAGTTGGGGAAGAAACATGAGTATGTAGGATAGTTTGAGGAGGAGATCAAATTGGTAACTGTTATTAAAGACTCTACCATTTTATTTTTGCTATATAAAAAATTATGCCACCTTATTAAAACAGCTAAACTTTGTCTGATGTGACAATGCCACCCCTAAGTGATAGGCACAGTAACTAAACCAAAGTCCTAGTAATAACTTTCAGTAGGCCTCAGTTGCTCTGTAAGAAATTAAACATATTAATCCACTCAACATTTACTGAGGGCTTGCTCTGCTTCAGCCACGGGGGACTGGGACCCTTAACACTTCTGCCCTCATGGCACTCAGTTACTGGGCAGGGGACCTGAATCAATTTTCTGAGTATGAACAGCGTCCCTCCATCAAATGTGTCAATACTTTGTGATGCATTTTGCTGTCGCTATTTGGATGAACCACAAAAAGAGGATTTTATGAAAGTGGTCAATGCTTCTATGTATATTCACTTTCCAAACCCAGAATTCCATTACTGTTTTGGAAAAATGTTAGCTGCTTTTCACATACTTCCAACAAGAAGATGTCATGCAAGCAGACAACTTTTTAAAGGTCAGCTGAAGAATCTGACAAAAACAATCCAAAATATATGAAAAATGAAATCATACTGGTAGGATCCTGGGCTTTTCTGCAATTCTAATTTATTTTGAAGGTACTATAATATACCTTAATTGGTATGTTGGTGTTCTGGGAACTGTACAAAGTATCCACTCTTAAATGAACTACTTGCCACTAACATTTTGCAAAATAAGCATTTTGATTTACAAACTGATTCCAGGCAATCAACTCTCCTGGTACAAAAACATATTGATTTTTTATAAATATATAGACAAACCTCTTCATCTTTAAGACAACTGAATACTAAAATTAGGTTAATATACTTTTAAATTCAAAAGGTAATGATGCAGGTTAGCTACTAAAAAGAATTACCATTTTTATAATGCACTTTTTCTAATACAAGTATTTATTATCTCTTTAGTTTATTATAAAATAGATTTATTAAATACTACCAAAACCTAAAGCTTACTAAACATTTGTTTTTCTAAATCACTTATTATCTCTTTAGTTTATTATAAAAGAGATTTCTCGAAAACCAAAAGCATACTAAACATAAATTTAGCTGATCTCTTCCAATAGTTGCAGATGTTCAAACACATTTGTTATATACTTAGAATAAATGTGTCAGACTGTCATGCAATAAAGATACTTTTTAGAATCGTATGTCAATATACTGGTTAACAAACCAGTCAGCTTAACCATGCTCTACCCCACCTGACGAACTGTTGATTATTTGGGAATTTTCAACTTTATATGACTTTGGGAAGAGAGAAATTTTACTCCGTATTGCTACAATTCCTAACAGTCTTCTGCACATCGCATACTAAATAAAACTGTTTTTTTTAACAAACAATGTGCTAGGCCCACCTTCATGCCAGCTTACCTTTCTATTCTCCTCGGCTCATTTCATTGGATGTGTTTTCAAAGAGATGGACAAAATATATAAATGATTTCAATTCTATTTGCCCACCGGATTGTTTTGCAGAAAAACTCATCAATTTTCTGTGCCGTTAGCAATGAAAGTATACTCATCTCACCACATTCGCCAAGCACTGTTGTCACTTATTTAGTTTGTGATGTTTAATTAGTTTTTGTGTATGTGTATGTGTGTGAGGCTATACATTTAGCCTTGTGAAAATATTTGAATGTAAACTATTTCCCTCTAACATTTTATCAGCAGGAATCCTTACAAGTTCTTATCGTATTCTTGTTCTTGACATTTTAAGTAATTTTATCCCACCAATTAAAATACTTTAAATTTACTTAAAATTGAAGAGTATACTCACTATTCCAATATCAAAATGATTTCGCTTGCATTTTCATAGACTTCATGAAGATTAATTACGTGGGGACAGGACTTGGCCAACTCAAGCACAGCAATCTCATGCAGAATCTCTGCTCGACAATCTTGTCCTCTTCTTCTCTTTTTCAGAAATTTTGCAGCATACTCTTGGCCAGTAGATTTTGATATACACTGTCTAACCACAGCAAATTTTCCTCTGGAAGAAAAAATGAGAACAACCAGTTTTAACTTTTCCATAAAAAATAGCATCATTATAACACAGATACTGTTATCCCTCCAACTTAAAGTCAATCCTTTCAAACAATCATTCCATTAGGAATTTATCTGTTCTCTCAACTGAATCAAATACTGCCCGTACTTTTCAAAATTTATAGTACTATCACTTAAAAATGAAAACGACAGGGGCTGGTCCCGTGGCCGAGTGGTTAAGTTCGCGCGCTCCGCTGCAGGCGGCCCAGTGTTTCGTTGGTTCCAATCCTGGGCGCGGACATGGCACTGCTCATCAAACCACGCTGAGGCAGCGTCCCACATGCCACAACTACAAGGACCCACAACAAAGAATATGCAACTATGTACCGGGGGGCTTTGGGGAGAAAAAGGAAAAAAATAAAATCTTAAAAAAAAAAAATGAAAACGACAAATGTAATAAAAGGATAAGACAGAATTCTATTTGTTCTTCACTATTAATATAACATGTTATCATTGTAGGAGATCTCTTTTGCATCCCGTCTCCATGGCATACTCTTGATATAAATTACTGTGTTTAAGTGTCACAACAGTCCTATACAGTAAACACTATTCTGTTTTGCAGACCCCAGAGAGGATATGTATCTTGGTCTATTTCCAAAGACCATACCCTTAACAGGGTATCACATTAACTCTCTAATCAAAATACCTTTTCTTCAAATACAAAAAATTACACTGAATGCGAAAATGGGTATTTGACATTTAATTTTATTAGTGTAATCACTTTGCCTTTCCAACACCACTTTTAACAAGCTTTGAAGCATTCTACCACAATTTGTCAGTTGTTTTACCAGTAAATCTTAGTATCATTCAGTAGTCTGTGAAGCCTGTGACAGCTATCAAAGGTATGTGTGTCCTATGGACAGTATCCAAAGATACTTTACAATCACCTAAGAAAAGTTACCAACAGTATGTACAAACACACCCATTACGGTCATGTTTACCATTTTAGGAGTAAGTATGTTTTTAGCTCTCTACAATAGAAGTGCTCAGCATCTCAGCCAAAATTTAAAGACACTGGCAAATATGTGTATTCTAAGACTATGGTCACCCAAAATCTAGTTTCCCAAAGAACTAAAGTTATTTTGAGTAAGACTATTTTAAGCAACAAATAAAAGCCATTGACTTCCTACCCAGAAAAATGTACACATGCCCTTAAATAGAAAGTATTACATACAATTCCAGAGGGTTTTCAAATTTCAAAGCCCATCCATAAATCTCCTAAGCCTGAGTCCAGGGTATCCAAAATTAAGAACCTTTATCCTTAGTCTCTAATTACTCTCTAGATACTAACAAATCAGGCATAAATAAAGGATCTTCAGAGAGTTAGTTTTGTTTCACAACTCCTCTTGCCCCAATTCCCCTTAGAATGTATTTCTAAGACAGCATATCAGGGGCTTAGCAAGGCAAACTATTTTTAATACACTTGGTGTTTGGAGCGAAGGTGAGGTAGGGGTGCGGGTGGGGGACAAAATAAATTTCTTGATTGTATTTCACTTGCCATTCTCTAGGACCAAGATGACAAAGATTCCTACTCTTTATTTCCCAAATTTCCTCCAAACTGGGGCCAAGGAAAAGCAGTGGAAACCAAGCTGAAAAAGTATAGCTCCTAATGCCAAAAACAAAGTGACCAAGCTATAATTTGACTCAGTTCCTATTGTGTATTAGTTAGCAAAGTAGAGATTTTATAATTACTGCAGTAATTAGGGCCCACAGGGTCCCTGCCCTCATGGGGCTTTTACTTAGTGGTGAACATTGACAAATAAATAATCACCAACGTCATGTGGTCGCCTTTGCTTCTGGTTGAGGAGTGCTATACTTGTTTAAGAAAGCCTCTGGAGAATGCCTGAAACATAAAAAGGGTTATTATTTAATTTTGTTCTTTGTTTCTGAGCAAATTCTGGTTTGTAGATACAATCATAAAATTACAGCAGAGCTAAATTGTCACAACAATATATCGATGCAACAAATTTGCATGCACAAACCTGATTCTTTGAAAAAAACTTTTCATTTATGATATGAGGATGTTTAATTTTAACTATAAGATTTTTCTCACTGTATGCAAAAGGAACACAAACGGATGCATTTCAATGAGCACACAAACAAGTCAATCGTTCCCTTAACTTTCTATTCAAACCACCCTGTCTTACAGATTTTAAACTGGATAAACTGAGTCAGACTAAGATTGAATGACTCATGAAAGGTCACATATGGAACTGGAGCGCCAAGAATTAAACTGTGGAACGTGCATTCCTAGTTTTCTCTTCTCACCACTACAAAACAATTTCTCCTTTGAAGATAAGTTTTTTTTAAGAAGTGCAACTCACTCACTTCTGCCCACTCTTAGATTGAGAAGCTAAGATCTGTCTAAAACAGAAAAGAAATTTTGAGCTTTATGAAGAAATTCACCTTGTAAAACTCAGGAAACACAAACCAGTTAGCCAAGAAAACTGTCCATCTGAAAAAAGATATAGTTTATAGCACTGGTTGTGACAATTTAGTTCTGCTGTAATTTTATGATTGTATCTACAAACCAGAATTTGCTCAGAAACAAAGAACAAAATTAAATAATAACCCTTTTTATGTTTCAGGCATTCTCCAGAGGCTTTCTTAAACAAGTATAGCACTCCTCAACCAGAAGCAAAGGCGACCACATGACGTTGGTGATTATTTATTTGTCAATGTTCACCACTAAGTAAAAGCCCCATGAGGGCAGGGACCCTGTGGGCCCTAATTACTGCAGTAATTATAAAATCTCCACTTTGCTAACTAATACACAATAGGAACTGAAGTGTCTGTTGAATGAATGCAAGGAATATGCACCTACTATGATATCATATATTGTGCTATTTTGCATGCTGTACTTAAAGCATTTATATTTTTTAAAGTTTATTTGAGATTCCAGTACAATTTTACATATATATTCACTTACATACTGTTAAATAAGGTAAACATTTTTACCATAATTATCAGATGAGTTATGAAAAAAATTTGTTTTCTATTCTCAAGTGCTAACTGTGGTTTAGAAGCCCAAAAATAATCTTTAATGCATAATGCTCCTATATCAAATTTAACAGAAGCATTTAAGAAAATTTAAAACCCTTAACAATATTACTTAATTCATATCCTAAAAAGGCAAAAGCTGCCTAGATTTCCCAGCAGTGAAAAGGTCTAGTAGTTACTGTTTTGCATTCTAGAACACACAATAAAATGTGAAAGGAGGGGGAGGGTAAGCCACAAAGGAAGCTGACGTTTATTTCTGCACCGGCCTCACCCTTCTAACCACAAGAAGTCCTATGAAACCTTGCCTCAGTGGGGGAGGGGTGGAAACAACTTACCCAACATGCTAAAAAACAGGAACAATGCAAAGTTTTTGAGAATTGTCAAAAATGAACCCTTAACTTTTACATGTTTTCTCTTAGTTTGTGATAGGAAAATAAATTCCTACATCTTAACTAACTTAATTAACATCTTAAAATTAATTAGCAAACCAATTGATTCAGAAAGATAGCTTTGTAGTTCACTACATGCTAGAATTATATGTTTATATACTTCAAAATGTACAAGCCCCAGGAGAAACATGATTATGATGCTAATTTCCATTTGCAAAAGCATAGGATATTAAAATTGGTAACAATATTGAAAGAACTTAAAGTAAGTTCTTGGCAGACGAAAGGTCACGATTTCCAACTTATCAAGATTTACTAATCAGATATATCAATATTTACCATGTGGCTCATTAACCTTTATCAATTAAAAGAAAAATGCTAGGTCTCCTCATGAAGGTATTAGAAAATGGGATACCAGCGATCTGAATTTGTTTTAATCAGATTCTATCATGAGTTTTTGCTCTAAAATGTTAAAAAGTACAGCTGATTCAAGCTTATGATTGTTATTTATGATGCCACCTCATTTATAAAACAATTTAGAATTATTAATATTGTCCTCCTCAAAATTTAAGTTCTCCAAAGTCTTCAAAGAAAAAAAATATTTCATAGCCTTTCTAACTCCCATAATATCCCTTATTTTGCAAAGTTAATTTAATAAATGTGTGTACATTTACTCATCAAAATAGTTAACTCAGAAAAATAGAAAAGAATACTCTTTACTGTGTGTACTGTTCAAGGCTTTGCATATTCAACATCCTGCTCAAAGCAGTCTCCAAACATTTTTGTGACAGAAGGAAACTTGGAGATATTTAATCCACCCTCTCTTCTTTTGTTTTTGTTTTTTAAAGACTCGCACCTGAGCTAACAACTGTTGCCTATCTTTTTTTCTTCCCCCTTCTTCTTCTCCCCAAAGCCCACCAGTACATAGTTGTATATTCTAGTCGTGAGTGCCTCTGGTTGTGCACACTCTCTCATCTTAAAGAAAAGGAAATCATACAACTGAGTAGATTACACATCTTTAGATCTAGAGCAAAGACAGGTCAACTGCTTTTGAGCTTAGCCTGTTTTTACTAACATACCACATGATGCCATATGACACATATTGACATGGCTGTTGGGGAAAAGGGAAACTCCTAATGGAGTCTTCGGCGACCTCCATACAGCTTTGTGGTATTCTAGATGTAAGACAGGGACAACACTGCGTCCAGTCTAGAGCTCCTCATCTTAAGACTGACGAAGAAGAATACAAAGTGGTCCAGAAGAGGGTAACTGGGTCAAGGAAGGCTGTGTGGAAATCAGGTCATGTGGTGAGTGTTCAAGGAAACTGGCAACATTTAGCTACATGCAAAAGCTCTGAAGGGTTTTCAGATGTACATTATACGCAGCTACAAAAGGAGAACCGCGTCTTTTGGGTAAGTATTAGCAGAGTAGAAAACAGAACCTTCTGTGCCAAAGAGGCGCCCACAAAATGGAACAGATACATTCTGAGGTAGTGAGTTCCCCATCATTGAATCATGCAAATTGAGGCTTAACCAGCTCGTCAGGAACATTAGAGGAAAGACTGCTGCACTGCTTAAAAATTATATTAGAACACCACTGACCAACAAAATCCTTCCAGGGCAAAGGGTCTGTGACCACCAACGTGAGACACAGGTAACAAAAAGAAAACTTACTCTTCCCTGTTACAATGCAAAGAAAAATAAAATGATAGATTTAGAACTAAACAATGTCATAAAAACATTCTGAAAGGTCTTTTAAATCTTTTAACATACCATTAAAACACCCAAATATTTTGCACATAAAATTAAATAAACATTCCAGAATTATGAAATATGCTTTCACATCTAGGTCTTAGTCTGATGAAGTAGATATTACCAACCTTATTTTGCAAAAGGTCATCTGATGTCACATCCAACATCTGACCAGTGAAAAAGCCAGGACCTGCCTTTACCCCTAACATAAAAGACCACCGAGAACAGAATTACTGGTCACGGTTCAGTCAAGTTTTGTTTTCATATCGAGATTTTCAAAGATAAAAATCAATCATACTGTATTACTGTACATCTGTCAATACAAACACGGCCTTGGGTAAACCATTTTAACATAAGCCAAAACATTTGCCTCCAGAACTAAAATCAAACTGAAGATAGAAACTGACTGCCATCTTCCAACCCTTTGTTAGGTATCTTTCATTTAAAGCTCAAAAGATGCTAAACATATAACTTAAATAACTTGGCATATCTTTGGTTGCTTGCAGATATATTAAAACAGTAGTATTAAATGATCTCGTACCATCAGGTCACTCCATGGCCTTAAGAAAATTTGCACCTTGGTGAAGCCACAGCCGATTAGTATTAGTGCAAGCACAGGTTTTACTCATAGAATATGCATTCTTCGTCATATAGAATTAGACTATCAAATACGAGTCGATTCTTTTCATTTAGGAAAGAAGAGGAGAATTTCCCTATATATTGTTTTAGCCCAGCACAATATCCCAGGAATTTTTACAATTTTTTATTTAACAAAGACTTATATAGCACTCTACTAAATATTTTGCAAATACTAAGTAACTAATCCTGACAACAACGATATAAGACAGACACAATTATCTTCACCCCCACTTCTCTGACGGGGTAACTACAGCAGTAAGAGGGACACCTAGCACTTTAATGGAGGTCATGCAGCTTGGAGACGGCAGTGGTGCCCAGGTCTGGGCTCGGCCACTCTGCTCAGCTGCCGCTTCCCATGCACAGCCTCCACCAAGAAGCCCGGCCTCCTCTCAGGGCCTCTGAAGCTGCGTGGGATGTATCATCCAGGATCACTAACCCTCCACACATTTTGCTTCCAAGTCGTTAGGACGGGACCCTGTATAATAACAGCAGAGATGATGACTTCTCTGTCTCATCTTTGTTGTTAACAATCAAGTGAGTTTTATAGAACTATAGACACAGAAATCCAAAATGCCAATTTAAACAGCACACACATCACAAAGTTGCCTTACCTTCCTAGCTCTTTAGATGTGAGTGTATAAAAATTATTAAAGTTTTCCATTTTCATTGGGGTTTGAGGCATTGTCGTCAGCAAGCCTGAAATACTGCGGCAATCAAACCTTCTCCGCGACATGGCAGATGCCTCTAGATACGCTCCTCCAGCCACTTAGCTTTACCTATTTAAAAAGAGAGCAGACACAGGATATAACTTACATGCAATTAAGAAAAAAAAAAGATGTTATCTCAGACAGGATGTGCATTACATTATACACCTCCAAATATAGCTATAAGATACAACTTTCCTGTCTCCCCCAAAAAAGAAGAAGATTTAAAGAGCACATTTTACCAAAAGGAAGGAAAACAGAAAGCACACACACACACTGGTATCACCTCTGCGGCACTTGAACCAGGCTACTGACTTCCTTTCACACTACTATAAAAATCCTGTAAGACCTCCCAAATTCTTAAAAAACAGTTACAATAAAATTTTAATACAAGTAATCATTCAATTTCATTTTTAAACTCTCACTCTCTAAAATTATATCTTCACATAACAAGATAATTTAACATAGCGAGGTAATGCTTACTCATTTTTAATTTAATTTTGCATGGCCAAACAAATTTGGTGGTGAATTCACATCTTGTGAGTTATATTACAGACATTTGAATGACTATAACAAATAGAACTTGCTTCACAGGCTGTGTATGTTTCAATACTAAATTCAGAGATTTTCCTAGATCTTAGCGTTGCTTTCTTGGGCAGAACCTAGCACAGAGCCTGCCCTGTACGAAGAGCTCTATGATTCTGCTGGATGACGGACAAACCACACACAGCTGCTTTCTGGAGTTCTGGTCTATGTCTGATGCTCTTGTCTATCTGGAACTTAGTGATATTTACATGTTTTTGGTTTTAACATCAAAACTACTATTTCGTATTAACAATTCAAATGGCAATAGCAGACCATATATTTCAAATTACTTCTGACTTTCTGCTATGCCTATCTAATAAAGATCCAGTTTCTTCCAGCACCCTCTTATAAGAACCCCCAAGACTTCTGTTCCTTCTCTGCCACATTTTTCCTCCACTTATTTCCTGCTTGACATGTACCGTTCTTTATCTTCCCAAGTTCAAATGCGAACTATATTCAACTTAGCAATAGGCAGTGTAATTAGACTTCAGTGTTATCAGTTTCTGTATTTTCTCAATTTTATTCTTATGTCAGCAAAATCTTTTTCTCCGAATCTCTTGTCTTTGGGGAATCAGAGCCTAACTAGTGTGGGGATACATCTCTAGCTGTCTAAGAGGAGCCGCGCAGTCTTCCGAAAATAACACTTAGACTGAATCACATCCGGTCTGAATCCCATTGATCCATCATAGCAGCTACGAGATCTTAACCAAATTATTTAACTTTGCTACTATTCTGGGCTGAACTGTGCCCCTCCCTCAAAACTCACGTGTTGAAGTCCTAACCCTCAGTACCTCAGACAGTGACCATATTTGGAGAGTGGCTTTAAAGAGATAAGTTAAAAATGAGGTCATTAGGGCACGCCTTAATCCAACAGAACTGGTGTCCTTACAGAAAGAGGAGAGCAGGACACAGAAACACACAGAGGGAAGAACATGTGAAGACACGGACAAGGCCATCTACAAGCCAAAGAGAAGGGCCTCGGAAGAAACTGACCCTGCCCACACCTTGACCGCAAACTTCTACTCCCCAGAATTGTGAGAAAATAAATTTCTGTTGTTTGAGTCACCGTTCTGCAGTACTTTGTTCTGGCCGCCCTAGCAAACTAACACTGCTACTAAAAAGAAAAGAAGGAAGCATTTCACATGTACAGGAAAGGATACAAATAACCTAACACTTGCTTTTTCAATCTTATTACTTTGCCGTATTTTGTTTAAATTAAAAATAAGTAAGACCTCACAGACACAGGTGAAGTCGGTCCCTTCATTCCACCCCAGTTTACATTCCCACCAGCCCTGAGTGGGAAGGCTTATCATTTTCTTGACAACATTTGCCCCATTCAGACTTTTAATTTTGGCTGCTCTAGTGTGACGAAGGTGAAATGGAATTTTGTGATTTACTTTGCATTTCTCTGATGACTAGAGAGGAAAGCTTCAATTCTGCTGCCTCTAAAGTACGGATGATGACAGAATCCAATTGCTGAGCTCTAAAAATTAAAATATGATGAACTCATGAGAATGACACTGGTAAAGTGCTAACCATGAGAGCCCATCGTGATTGTTCAATAAATATTGTTACTATTCTATACTCTCTATGCAGTACCCTGCCATTGCCGAGGAGCTGCACCCTGTTTCCATATACAAAACTCTCACCCCAAGTTAGCTTAGACTCAACTCTTAAAATTCTGCCTTTCTATTCTGTTTTGATGAACTATTTGTGTACTTTCTTAGTTCTGATGGAACTGAGTTTCACTGGTCGCTTATTCCTCTCTGAAAAATTAATACCAATTTCCATTCTCAATCTATTTTTTTTCAGGTCATCTTTGAGATTTTACAAATTTTTCTCTAAATTTAAAAGTCTATGACTATGCATCCTTATGATTGCATTTATGTTATACACGTATACACAGAAAGAAGGGATGTACCCGTATCTTGGAGACAAACTGGGCTATATTCCCAAACACTGTTCATCAATCAGGCCTTGGGAAACATCACAACAGTAATGTGTCAAACTCAATCACAGACACAGAGTACAGGTTCTTGAGTCTAAGATGTTCACCTCATCTAGATCCTAGAATCTAAGAAGTTGATCTTATGCTGTAATATACCATCAACAAAGTGATCTATTCATAAGAACTCTAAACAACTAAAATATATTTTATGAATAAGTATTCTCTGCGCTCAAGTTTCAAAAAGAGTCAATATGGTTCTTAGATGTAGTTGATTTATGTTCAATGAAGCAGGATGTACAACAGTGAAAAAAAATCAAAAACTTCTTGAATGAATGAACCCTGAAGTCCAACAATAGGGAAATGGTTAAATACACCTAAATAATAAGACATTATATACACAAAAATTGTGCTTTCAAAGAATATTTTTAATTCATTATATTAGTGAAAAAAGGAAGACAAAACTTTATGTACAGTATTATAAGTTTGTGGGAAAAATACGAAAGCAAATAGAAGACAGGACTGGAAAACAATGGCAAAACGTTAACATGGTTACCTCTAGGTAGTGGGATTATGGCAGTATTTATACTTTCCTGTGTTTAAATATCTACACTAAGCAGGTACTAATTTATTAATCGACAAAAATTAATAAATACCTTTGGGTAACACTAAGCAGGTACTAATTTATTAATCGACAAAAATTAATAAATACCTTTGGGTAAAAAAGATGGCTGTGAATATGGATGACTAGACTCTGAATGCAGAAACTTACCCATATGCAACAGCAAAACATCTCTCTTTACACATTGAGGGTTTACTTGCTTGGAAGTTCAAGAGCCATTATTGCTCAGGTTTTTAAGGCCTCAACATTTTCTCTGCATTTATATAGAGCAGATGGTGTTCATTAGCCAAATAATGTGTCAGTTCTTATGCAGAGACCATGTAAGCATTTAGAGTAAATACTAAGCAAGAATTAATGTCTTGTTTAAGGCTGCACAGAAAAAACAATTTAACAAATTCTGAATTAATGTTATAGTTATAATTCTATACTCTGAATAACAGTTTGTAACCTTAAGACAAATGTCTTTATTATGAGTTTCACTTGTGAAAATCCAGACTCATCCTGGGATTCCTCCAAAAAAAATTCAAAATGTGATATCCAAATATACTGATAAATATTAAGTTTTTAAATACATATTATTTAGTTATATTAGAAGGAAAAAGAGCTTAGCTTTTTTTTAAAACAAGAAGGACTGAAATGGATAACGGTAATATAAATAGGGACTTACTAATCAAATTACTTAATAGTATTTCCTAATACTGGACATTGACTTGTGTTTAATTTTTTACCCTAATAAATTTTCCTCCCCTCACATGTACTGTTGGTCAGCATAGGGATGAATGTACCACAGGTACTTGTATGACTATAAATGTAGCTGAAAATAGCACTGGGCAAGCAGCAGTTTCTTAAATACACATGAATACAAAAATCATCTTTCGAATTGTGACACATGTCACTGACTGCAAATGTGCTGGAACACAAGCCATATCTCAGAAAAGAGAAAGAGCACATTTATGAAGACTGACCCTTCAACTTATCTTATTGCTAATAGAGCTGTATTACAAACTGCTTTAGGCAACCATACAGCAGCCGGTGAGCGTATTTTTTCTTCTATTTACTGCACTTGAATCAACTGTCACAGCCTAATACTTTTCCATTTTCTCTCCTTTGGCCAGTTTTGCATACAGTGGAGCATGAATGTCACCTTTGTCCACCAAACCCTCCACAAAGCTCTGGCTGCCCTTCACAGAAGATTTAATCCTTGGCCACATGAAGGTTATCAGTCAGCTTTCTCTCTCCTGGCATCTTCCTAAGTTTCCCACCAAACTGTCTAACCCCAACATTAGTCCCAGACCTGTCCTTGTTTTCTACCACAGCTCACGGACTTCTAACTGATTCTAAATTACCAGGATGTCTCATCCCACTTGAAATTCATTTCCTAACACTTTACTAGGCTACACTAACGAAAAAAAATCTTAAGGGACTTAGTAGGTAAATGTGTGTGTGTGGGTACACAACCACAGACACACTCAGGCACCAGAAACAGTAAGAGGGTATCAGAAGGCAGGGTACAACTAAGCAGTCTAGGGCCCAGTATGACGAGAAGTAATGGCATCTCAAACATGTTTTCAGAGATTGTTTTTCATTAACTCCCATTACAATAATTACAGTAAGAATTCAGATATGGGTCAGCGAAGGATGGACAGAAGGAAACGTTAGGCTTGATTTGGACTTTAATTTACTTGAAGGGAGAAAGCAAATGTGACGTGATCAAAAGTAAGACAAACAGCCCCTATAAACCTCTAACTAGCTCTATTTTAAACACATCCATCATAATATTCATTTCAAAGTTATCAAATAAAAATGTTTTATAAAAATAGAATATAACATATACAATAAATAAAAACATCTAGAGAATTAAATTGTCTGCTTTGATCCCCACAAGCGCAAGTCCTGACAGCATGACACACAAAAGCCCTGGAGACGGGTACACACCAGCTTCAGTTCCTGCCACCCTCCTGTCGACATTCTGCCTCTACATCTCTGCTATACTTCTCTCCTCAAACACCCTTTCTACCTTTCCTTAAATGGCTAACTCTTCTTATGCATCCTTTATGTCTCAACACAGAATGTCATCTCCCCCAGGAAGCTTTGCCTAAAACCCACAGGTTGGGTTAAATGCCTCTATGCTTCAAACGGGAGGACCCTTGACATACCTCTTTATCTCAACATGTAACACGTGGGACTGCAATTACATTTAGTGTCTAAAGGGCAGCAACCATTTACTTTTGTGACTAACCTTCCAACACTTGTCTGGCACCTGGCAGGAATTTAAAAAAAGTTTGATGAACTGAATGATAAGAATTATGAAATAAAGCAAGAAGAATTTTTAGGTACATCTCATATCTTTAAGGGTTTAGCAGAATAAGCTCCATCTTGAAATTACAGTATTAGAGCTGCAAATCTGCTAGTCTCTGCTTAATTCAGTATTTGGCTAAATAAAATAAGAAACATTTTAAATTGCTATTAGACAATTTCAATTCTAAACAGGATAGCCACGAAGTCGGGAAACATGGATAAAATTAGCTTATCAGATATCGTAATGTAATACCAATAGATCATTTTGTATTTACTTGTCTTTCCAGATTAGGTAGCCATCTGTTTTTATGTAAATTCCTACTTTAGCTAAGAACATCAACATTTTAAGTTACTTCAATCAGGAAATTCAGATACTTGTCCTGCCAAGAACTGATAAATCTATATCTTCACACAGTAAATATGAAAGGCAATGCAAAGTAAGACACGCAGGAAACAACTCCTTTCTACATCGCCATTTATAGCTACCAAACTTTCCCTAGGAAACAGAGGAATTGAAGATTTATTTATCTAGCATCCATCAAAATAAAGGAAGAACTTTCTGCTAGTGTGGCAGAACAATCCATTTTAAATGAGTCATTGATTAGAAGTAAAGGTACTGGTGTAGGGACCGAGATGAAGCTGATTTTCAATGTCAAGAAAGACACTGTATTCCTTATATGTATTCTACTAACAGGTTTTTTTTTAAATAAAGATTGAATAGAAAGTATAATTCAAGAATTTAATCCTTTGAAAAGCAGGAAAGGAAGCCAGCTGACTGCCTCTAGTCCAACCAGCCTAGCATAAACACTAGTACATGCCACCCAAGGGCTCAGGTCCCAGATACAGACCCTGGGCCTGCTTCTGCGCCACAACAGTAAGCGCTGTGCTGTCTCTTCTACCTTTAGAAGGAGAACTAAACCCTGTAATCGGGAACCAGGATATGGAGATGCTGGAAAACAGAAACATAGTCGGCCAAGAAACATATAGTGCCTGTCACTCATCAGATGGAAAATTAACTTTCTGTTGTAAAATACCGTACTGTTTACTTATATCATCATCACTGAAGTAGTGTTTATTCAGTAACTATTACAATACAAAATAGAATATGATCCTTTAAGGATTAAAGATGAAACTACCATCTCACCGTTAATATTAAAATTTTTAAATGCTTAAAGTATAACTACGCCCTCTTTTGGGGAAGAAGTTGCAAAGGGTCAGGGGTGCACTGAAATATGTTGCATATAATGTTAAAAGAAACTGGCTAGTTTAGATGCTTAAAATGGCATCGAAGTTCAAGGTTAAATGAATTTGGAAAAAAAGGATAAATAAATCAAAGAAATAAAAAATTTTTTAACAAAGTATGTCTTGAAAATTGCAACATTTATCACACCATATTTAGATAAAAACACGTGTTTCGGGGCCAGCCCGGTGGCATAGTGGTTGAGTTCACGCTCCACTTCAGTTGGCCCAGGGTTCACAGGTTTGGATCCTGGGCGGGGACCCAGCACCACTCTTCAAGCCCTGCTGTGGCGGCATCCCACACAAAATAGAGGAAGATTGGCACAGATGTTAGCTCAGCAACAATCTTCCTCAAGCAAAAAGAGGAAGATTGACAACAGATGTTAGCTCAGGGCCAAGCTTCCTCACAAAAAATAATATATATATATATGTGTGTGTTTGTAACTTAATTTATAAGTAATTTGTTAACTGAAATATTCAAAGAAATACCCTTTGATAATAGTCTGAGAATATAAACTATATAAAAATAAAGTCATTGAATTTTCTCATCAATATTGGGGAAAACTAAAGCAACTAAAACATTTAAAGTTTTCCCAAGTGGAAAGGAAGCACATAAATGACTGTTAATGTTTCTGACACAATCAATACCCGCAGGATGCAAAAGAATTCTTCAAAAAAACAAGAATCAATAAAAATCCTTTAAAAGCAGTAAATCTAGGAGTACTGTTCTCAGCTGCCAATTTTATATACAGGAAACATGCACTACACGATAATATACACGCAATTTTGAGACAATTTTAGGATTAAGTGAAAGTGTTAGCAATTGATTTCTTTGATACCTGAGTTTTAAATTGGGTTTCTAAGATTAAACCAGGGAAATTTTGAAAAGGAAGTTCTCTCCTAACAATTATCAAACAGTTTCAAAACAAAGCTTCTAAAATAATGTTTAAATGTTTACCTAACACCAGTAAAATGCTGTCAATGTGAGCTTAAAAATAAAATTTGTGATTAGAAAAATGCCATTAAAATGCCCGTGTCTTGTTCAGATTTCTTATTAATGTGCTGACACAGTGACCAATTAGTCAAGTCCCGACTTTCCTAAAACTGATTCTATCTTAACCAAGCCGTAACTCACTATTCAGCGAGCCCAAGAGAAACCACAAGCATCCTGTCCCACACAAAAAAGAAAGGCCTTCAAGTTATACACAAATTTTACTTAGAAAACTTAAATATATTGCCATGTAAATATATTTCACTTCAATTTTAGATCCATAATTTAGAAAAATAATCTAAAATGCATGAGATGTATCTCAAAAATAAAGCAGCTATTAATAACAACTTCCATTCTCAAAATACTGGAGAAATTTTAAAAAACTGAACATCTGCTCAGAGGAGGAAGGGGAAAGAAGAGAGCTCTTAAACTAGCTCATTGCTCCTAAGGACCAGCTTTTTCAAAAATAAACAATTCAATGGGCATGTGGTTTAATAGTTATAAAACAAACACTTTAGAAGGTGAAAACTATTTTCTGAACGGTTCACTCTAAAACTACAAAACGGTGTATCAATGAGAAAGTAGGCTTATCATCTTTTCCTTTTAATAAAATTGTGCTCCTGGGCTCAAAACGCCGGGTTGCAGACACTGCCACCTGCCCGGTCCTCTCTGTAGACCACGCTGTCTCAGGGCACATTCTCCAAGACTTGAGGACTTAAAGGGGCCACACCACGGCAAACATCACCGCGAGGTTCAGCACATCACTGGTACCACAGATGCAAACACTACGTCGGGGAAACAATCAGTGAATGTGATACAAACACCCAGTATTATTGAAATTTGATCAGTATGTGGCTGGATTTTTAAAATCTATTTCTTTTTCTTAATTTCAATTTGCAAATTACCGTCGGAACGCCTTCAGTCCCATCACAAAGGAAAAACTACTATCAGCTAGCTACCAGCTGCCATAAAGTCTCAACTTTGACTCTTCTTATCCCTCTAAGGGAATTCAAATGAAGCGCTTTTCCCTACATAAAACAGAAAGCTGAGTAAATGTCAAAATCGTAGCCATCAACTACTGCAGTCGTAGAGTTTGAGGATGGGCCGCGTACACTTAAGTGGTTTACACAGCGTCAAAATAAAATCAGATCACCGAAAATCACTGAAACAACTGCAACTGGTCTTCTCTATTCACTGACTTGAAAAACTGTTCACGAGCAGCAACTGAAAATGCCCCAGAGGATGAGCACAAACTTCAGACGCCAAGCAGCAGAGTGAGCAGGACGCGTCCACGAGTCCAGATGTGTACACGACCTGTGCCCACACCACAGCTGTGAACTCGGGAGGGACACGACCGACCACGTCGACGCGACGTGCAAGGGACGCGAGGGAGCCGGTCGCGAGGGGGGCCCGGCGGGACGCGAGCCGGGGAGAGCCCGGGCCGGCCGGGCGACAGCGCGCAGACACACAGACACTCACTGACACACAGACACGCTCTCCGGGCGGAGAGGGGTGTCGGGAGGACCACCGGCCGCCCCCCGCGCTGAACCCGAGGAAACCAGGGGAGCAGGACTCCAGCCGCAATGCGGCTAGGGGGCCGGAGCATTCGGCCATTCGAGGGGCGGCAGAGTCCCAGCCCATCTCCGCCAGCCCGGGGGTCCCAGGGAACCCTGGATCCGCCCACCCCGCCTGATCCCTCCTCGGGACCCCTCCCACATTCGGGGGGTCTCTGCACCCAGGGGAAAGGGGGCTGGCTCAGGGGTTCGGAGTCGCAGCCCGAGCCCACCCGCCAGCCGCGGCAGGCCCGCGGACGCGCGGCGGCAGACACTGACCGCTCGGGCCGCAGCAGGCTCCCTCGGGGCTGCCCCTCCAGGGGGCTCCCGTCCCGCCCCACGCCGCTGGCCGCCCCGGGACGCGTTCTCCAGCTCCGGCCCGGGGAGGCGCCGGGGAGCTCCGGGCGTGGCAGGACCCACTTTTACTCTTCCGGACAACGGCCAACAGGGGCGACCTGACCCCCTGGGAGGTGGCTCTCGGGGACGGCAGCGCGGACGACAACCGGAGCTTACAGTTGAGGTTTGAAAACTGCAGCCGCGTCGCGGGGCAGGGCTGGGCGCTGGGACCCGGCCCCTCCGCCGCGACAGCCAATCGGAGCGCGCGCGGAGGGCGGGGCTGTCACGTGACGGGCGGGGCGGGGCGCCGGCCGGCGGCGCGTGCTGCGGGGCGGGGCCCCGGCGGCGAGAGGGTGTGGCCGCGCCGGCCGGCCGGGGCGGGGCGGAGCTGCGGAGCAGGTGGGGCGCCCGGGTAATTGCGGCGAGGCCGGGGTGTGGCGGCGGCGCTGCGCTGTGAGGGTGCCTGGGTGCACCCCTTCCCCCTCGGAGTGCTCAGTCCGTCTGCAGGTGTGAATATCCGCAGACTGGGGAGAGGGAAGAAGTCAAGTTAGTCCCATCTGCTTCCGACTCGTCCCCAAACTCCTGTGCCTACCAAAAACCTGTTTTCTGACTCTTCCGGGTCATCTTCCTTATAACCTGAACTCACCCGGCAGGTGTAGAGCCCGGTTTGCTACAGCTTGGCAAAGTTAACCTCGCCTGGGGATTTGCGGAGCCCGGGCCTCACCGCTGAAGCCCGCTCCAGCGAATTGAGTCCTGAGGCATGACTTAAGGCGGTGTAAGGAGAGTCCCAACAGGGTGAATTGCTGATTTTGCATATAGAGTGCTAAGGGAAAAGGTGAGAGCCCCCAGCAGACTACTCAGGATCTGTTATCCCTTGAAGAAAATTAAAAAGTTGAAAGTTCTGTGCGTCACAATTGAGTTTTTGTTTTCTTTTATGTAATCTAGGAGTGGTTGCAGAGTATATTTACAATAATTGTAGAAGACTGTGGGAAAATATATTGGGAGGGGAATCGCTCTTTCAAAAGATTTTAACACTAAGTCAGCATCTAAAGTGGACGTTTTCTTGTTCTGTCTCCCAGTAAGCCAAGCAAATTCCCATCAAGCCATCCGTTTGCTCTTCCATGCTGTATTTTTCCCAAGATAAAAGCGTAAAATGCCTCACAGTCATTTAATGAAGTCTGCTGCTTGTTACTTAACTGATTCATCCCAGTTTAATATGTCACAGCCTGGTCACTTGGAAAATATGGCTTCCATCTATCTACTTTCTTGTTAGTAGCAATTGCACTGACTAGAGAAGCCTAAAGTTAGGATGGAAACCAAAGAAAAAACGGACTTTTCAACTATGATTATCTAAGAGCCCACAAGCCAATGAGACTGTTGCCAGCTTCTGCTTTATGAACTCCAGGGCAGCAGCCCAGAGGTCTCAGCACCAGCACCGGAACCAGTCACCTCTAGGGATCGCAGGACTGCATCACGCGGTGATTTTTGGTGTGTGTGTGTGAAACTCTGGGCCTCCTCAGTTCCAACATTTGAACAATCGCCAGCTCTGACCAATCTCCTCACACTCAGTCTGCCTTCCCCTCTGTCATTAACGTGGTCCCACATCACTTCACACCTAGATACAGACCTTTCTTTCTCCATCACAGCTTTAAACTAACCTTCCTTGTGGTCACAAGCCCTTTGCTCTAACCAGGCAGCCTGCTAGGGATCTTTTCATGTCTTGCATTTTCCTGTCTCTGCCCTGGCTCCAGTTTTTCACCATCCTCCTCATCAATTTCCAACTCTAAGAAGGTTACCCTCCCAGAAATCAGAAATCTTTGCTGACTTCTACTTTCCACTCCGGGCCTGATCACCTCTTTGCCCTATGTTCCTAGGTGCGGGGCTCACTTGTACTTGTTCTGGGTGTTTCTCTTATGACCCTAAATAGGTTGTTAACTTTGGTGCCTAATGTCAGATTTGCCAGCTAGGATTTAGCACACTATCCCAAGGACATTCTGCTACACTTCCTTGGTCTCAGGCACGTGGTTCAAGTAACAAGCAGTTCCTGGTGCTGAGGAGCAGACTGTACCATCTGTGGCCTTGCAGTAAAATTCAGGAGTCGACATGTCCCTCCATCCTACCTCATTTACCTAAAGTCATTCATAGCCATGTCAAAGGTTCGGGTTCTTGCTCTCATTCCCTTGAGTAGGAAACCCCCATGTGACCTAATGGTCTTTCTGTCATCGTTGCCTCTGACCATGCAGTTCATTAAGTTGATCCTTGCACGCCACATACTGACCAGGGGTGGTGGTGGTTGTGGGCTGATTGTGTCCCTGCCAAATTCATGTGTTGAATCCCACCCCCCAGCACCTCAGAATGTAACTGTATTTGGAGATAGGGCCTTTAAAGAGATATTTAAGGTAAAATGAGATTATACAGGTGGTCCCTAATCCAAGATGAAGAGATTATACCATCAACACAATGAAAAGGCAACCTACGGAATGGGAGAAGATACTTGCAAGTCATACATCTGACAAGGAATCAACATCCAAAATATATAAAGAACTCATACAATTCAATAGCAAAAAACCCAAACAATCCAATTAAAAAGTCGGCAGAGGGTGAATCTTCCTCAGCATTAAAAAAAAGGAGGCAGACGCTATGAATAGACATTTTTCTGAAGAAGACATACAGACGGCAAGGCAAACAAGTACTTGAAAAGATGCTCAGCATCTTTAATCATCAGGGAAATGCAAATCAAAACCTCAATGAGATATCACCCGTTAGAATAGCTGTTATCAAAAAGGCAAGAAATAGCAAGTGTTGGTGAGGATGTGGAGAAACGAGAACACTTGTGCACTGTTGGTGGGAAAGTAAATTGGTGCAGCCATAGGAAAACAGTATGAAGGTTCCTCAAAAAATTAAAAATAAAACTACCATATGATCCAGTAATTCCACTTCTGGGTATTTATCTGAAAAAAATTAAAACACTAACTTAAAAAGATATATGCATCCTCGTGTTCACTGCAGTATTATATTTACAATAGTCAAGAGAGGGAAACAACCTAAGTGTCCACTGATGGATGAATGGAAAAAGAAGATGTGGTATACATATACAATGGAATATTATTCAGCCATAAAAAAAGAAATCTTGCCATTTGCAACAACACGGATGGACCTCGAGGGCATTATGTTAAGTGAAATAAGCCAGACAGAGAAAGACAAATACCATATGATCTCACCTACATGTGGAATTAAAAATGAACAAGACAAAAAACCAAGTTCATAGATACAGAGAATAATTGATGGTTGGCAGAAGTGGGGATTGGGGGGAGAAATGAGTGAAGGGGGTCAAAAGGTACAAACCTCCACTTACAAAATAAATAAGTCATGGGGATGTAATGCACAGCATTACGTGAACAGGTGACTATAGTTAATACTGTATTGCGTATTTGAAAGTTGCTAAGAGAGCAGATCTTAAAACTTATTAGAAAAAGAAGTTTCTTATCTATGTAAGCTGATGGATGTTAAATGGACTTATTTTGGTGATTATTTCACAATGTATACAAATATCAAATCATTATGTTGTACATCTAAAACTAATGTTATATGTCAAGCATACCTCAATTGAAAAAATAGTTTAAAAAAAAGAGACTACAACACAGACTGAGGGACGACCATGTGAGGACACAGTGACAAGGCAGTCATCTGCAAGCCAAGGAGAAAGGGCACAGAAGAAGCTAAACCTGCTGACTCGTGATTTTGAACTTCTAGCCTCCTGAACTGTGAGGAAATAAATTTCTGTTGTTTAAGCCCCACAGTCTGTGGTATTTGTAATGGCAGCCCTAGCAGACTCATCCTGTGGTCCTCCTGGATAACCCCAAGTGAATCCCCATATGTGATCAGGGATGGGGGTCCTTTCTGATCATGCCTTGATATTCACCCCATTCTGTCCATGGAAGTGCCCCTCTCATCTCACCGGGTTCGTCACCACATGCTGGCCACACACTGACCAGGGAAGGTGATCCTCCCTGACTGCACCTTTACTCCCTACAGTTGCAGAGAAGGAGGGTGGAATTTTATACAGAGAAGAAGGACCCAAATGCAAAACTCCTGCCATTGACACACCCTCCTTCTGAAGAAAGCATTACCAGTTTTTTGTGTCAAGACCCTACAGTTCAATCCATGTGGAAAGAGCAAAAGAAGCACTACTGCCTGTCTCCCACTGAACAAGCCAGAAATTTGTGGCCAGGCTAAAGGCAACCAGACACAGGGGGCCAATAGCTTCTGAAGGGACTTGGCTCAAACCTCTACCCAACAGGGGGACTCATGTTGAACGGAGACAAGCTAGTCCAAATAGATCCCCTCTCTGGAGGCAGGCATGCTGGTGTACTCAGATGGGTAAGTCACAGTGTATTTATCCATGGTGCCTACAGCCATGTCCCAATTTTGGAAGCATTGGGGACCACAGAGACCTTGCATTCCCTGGCTTTCTTATAACAAACCTGGTAAGCAAACGTAATCGGGGCAAGTCTTTCCTGATGAGCGCAATGACTCAGATTGGTATAGGTGTCTTCCTTAAACAGGGACATAATTCTTTCCCCCGAAGCACCCACGGTTAACTAGGATCTAGATTGCCCATCAAATCACCCACCACAGTTTATAGACTATAAACTTCCAGAACCATCCAAAAGAAATGTCATGCAAACCACATACATCATTTTAAATGTTCTAGTAGTCACATTAAAAAAGTCAAAACAGGTGGAATTCATTTTAAAAGTATATTTTACTTAACCCAATATATCCAAAATATTGTCATTTCAACATGTAATCAACATAGAAAATTATTAATGAGACATTTTACATCCTTTTTTCATATTGTCTTTAATCAAGTATATTGTACATTTACAGCACATCCCAATTCAGATGCTAAATTTTCATTTGAAACGGTTGATCCACCTTAGATTGCACAAAATTTACCATTGTCAAAAGAAGATTCACATCCCTACGTTTTTACAAACATAAAAGTTTCAATAACTGAATATAATATCACTTTCTTAACTTAAATTTAAATAAAATGAAATACAATTATAATTTAGTCATGCCAGCCACATTTCAAGGGCTCCAGAGCCACACGTGATGGGTGGCTACTGTATTGGACCGCACAGATCCAAAGGGCTAGAAATGTGCCTTCTAATTGCTTCTAAACCTCAAATTGTTTAATGCAGCAC